ATGCATAAGCAAATGCGAAAAAAGTTTTGAGAACTAAAACGAAAAGAAGGTTGGGTTAGTTTAAAAGAGCAAGCCGAGGCTAGCGGAGCCAATTTAAGTCCCGAAGAGTTAAATATCATTCGCAAGCAAGTAGATAAAAATCACCGTCGGGGCAGCGGAGTTTGAGAAAAAATTTTCGCCATGAAAGTTAATTTAGCCAAAATAAGAAAGGCCCAAGGAAAAAAGATGTTAGAAGAAGAAAAAGATATCAGGGAACAAGAGGAAGAAAATCAAACAGAAGCAACAAAATTGACGGAATTTGAATCCACAGAGGAACCATCAGAGACCAACGCAAATATAGAGGGCAATATCGATATGGATAAGATTTATAGAAAAGTTAGTAAAAAATATCGCCACGGTAGCCCCAAATGAAACCGAGCCGTAGAGAAAGAAATTGATAAAGAAAGGCAAAGATTAGGATTAAAAATTGACCGGATCGAAGACGAATTGCTAAAAGAAAAATTTCCCGAAGAAAATAATTCCGAGGAGGAAGAAGAAAATAAGGAAGAATAACATGGAATTTTTTCAAAAAATTTTTAATTGAAGTTTAAATATCAGTTGGCATTGGTATTTAATATTTTTCGTAATTGGAGCCATTTTAGGCTTTTTAATTCGTTATAATTGAATTGCCTTTTTTCAAGCCTATTTAGAAAGAAAGAGACTTATTGAATTCGCCCAAGGAGTTCATATGGGAATTATCCAAGCTGATATTGGCAAAGGCAAAACCCTCTTAATGGCAATTTTAGCCCGCTCCATGCCTTACGGAATTAAAAAAGTGGGTTTTGTTTCTAATGTTCCTGATTGTGAATTATTAAGTTATAGTGATATCAATTTCCAAGAAAAAGTGCCTCGTAAAGATACTTTTCGTATTCCTAAATATTTCTTTTTAGATGAGACTAATTATTATATCGATGGGGTAAATGTAGCCGCTAATCGTTTATACCACGAGGGAGTAAGCCAATTATGCCAGCAAGCCCGCCACCAAAAAATCCATTTGTGAATTAGTGCCACTCGTGGTAATCATGTCTGAGTAGCCGTGCGGGAAATGGTGAATTATTATATAAAACTAGATGGCTTACGACCTCTATTTAAATTGGGAAGTTATTCTTTTTTTACTTTACGAATAGATTTTTACTCCCAAAGTTGAAAACACGAGCAATCTTTTAATATTTTAGTTTCTAATTTAGATTTTGAACTTTACGATAGTTATTGGCTAAAAGATACGGCTCTTTGGCGGCGAAAAAAAGCAGACCAGGACAGGACAGCACAGGACAAAATATGAAAAAATATTTAAGTAATTTTTGGTGAAAGCATAATATAATAATTCTGGAATGAGAACAAGAAAATAAACCTTTTTTGCTAACTAACGAAAAAAAATTAATTGCTTTGGAAAAAATAAAGGACTGACAATTGCTTAAACACGAGACCAAAACTGATATTTTTTTAATTACTTTTCTTTATAAGGATAAATCGTTGGGTTCTTTTCGTTTTATTGGCGATGCCTACTGGCATGAAACTAAAAAAAGATATGTTGCTATTTTGTGGTTAACAGGTCCCACCAAGAATAAATTAGAAAAAGAAACTATTAACTAATAGGATAACAATTGCGGACTCATAATCAATCCAAGTTATCGTCTTCAAATCAAAAGACTAGCAAGTAATTTTTATCCTGGTAGGGAACTTCTTCTTCAATAAAAACTTCCCGATTACCATGTCTTTTCTTCGGTCGTTTTAACTCCCCGTTTAAATGTTCTCGACAAATATTCAAAATTAATTCCTGGGTGATTCCCTCCCGACCTTTTTTTCGTCACGGGTGGTCAGTGATAGTAATTTTAGTGATGATACGATAATTGAAGATAAAATCAAATAAACAGAGGTAAGTTCACTGTCATTCTTGGTAAATTTGACTAAATTCTTTTTTATCTAATCTAAATTCGGGCATGTAAATTTTTATCCTCCTTAATAATGACTTCTATTTCGCAAGGAGCATATACTCTGCTAACTGCTTCGATTAAAACTTCGGAATTTACTTTGCCCAATCGGTAGAATAAAATGTCTTCTAATTTATCCTGGGATAAGTTGGTTCTCTCTCTCATTTCTCGGTCGGTTAACTTATTCTCCATTTGGTAGGCTAATAACTGACGGCAAAGTTTATATTTGGCTTTTTGCAGCGGAGTAGCATTGCGGGGTAAAGCCCAAGAACCTTGACCGATGTTTTTGGGGTTCTCTAACTCTTGGAGAACCTTTTCGAATTCTTGTCTTTCTTGCTCGGATTGAGTTTTTTTGCTTGTCATAATCATGCTATAATTATCTAATTGCTTATTATACTACTTTTTTAATAAAAAATTTCCTCTTTTAAAGAGGAGGTTCTAGTCGAACCCATATCTGCTAGACTTAAAATATTTCTCGCCGAGTTTATATCTCTATCTAGTTCTAAATCACAATTTCAACACTCAAAGGTTCTCTGATTAAGTTTTATTTTCTCTTTGGCTAATTTTCCACAATCAGAGCAGGTTTGAGATGTGTTCCTAGGATTTACTCGAACTAATTGCCGAGTAGCAATTGCAGCTGCCTCGGCAATAACTTGAAATAAAATACCCCATCTTGCTTGTTGGATGCTTTTGGATAAACTTCTGTTTTTAACCATTTTCTTAATTTTTAAGTCCTCTATGGCTATCTTATCATAATCTCTAACCAAGTCGTTTGCTATTTGATAAGAGTAATGTTTAGACTGATTAACAACTTTTTCTCATTTTTTAGCAAGTTGAAGTTTAGTATCTTTTCAGTTTTGGGAACCTTTGACCTTTTTGTTTAAAGATTGCTGTGTTTCAATTAACTTCTTTTCAGATTTCTTATAATGCTCGGGATGCTTATACTTCTTACCATTAGAAAGGGTTATATAAGACTGTTTATTAAGATTTACATCTATTCCTATGTTTTGATTAGTTTGAGGTAATGATTTAGGTTGGATTTCATCACAAGAAAAACAAACATAATATCTACCATTTTTTCTTTTAATGGTTAAGGATTTTATATTTCCTTGGATATTTCTTTCCATGGTTATTTTAAAATCAATTTTAGCATTACCTCTGCCTAGTGATAATGTTAGTTTTCTAATTTCTTTCTTTTTAGTCAAGGGAGAATTATCTAATTCAAATCCTCAAATTTTATTCTTTCCTAATTGGGAGTTAATAAAGGAATTATATCTGTGAACTGGTTTATATTTTGGATATCCTTTTTTGTTATCTATCCTCTTTAACTCCTCATAATTTTTTCATTTTTTGTAAACTTTTTTTGCTATTTCTTGTAGGGTAGTAGAATAAAAATGTTTAAGGATTGGATTATTCCTTTTTGTTTGAGGTATGGAGTTAATTAGTTGATATTCAGTTAGTTGGTTTTCTCCTTTTTTGTCTCTATCTATATCTCTCTCTAAAAGAAAGTTATTAAATCAGCAACAAGATTTTAAAATTTGCTCTATCTCTTGTTTTTTGACTTTGTTTAATTTAAAGTAGTATTTAAAGGTTCGTTTCATATGAAAAAGAGGACAATTAATTATTGAAAGAGTTATATAATACTTAATTTTAACAAAGGCACTTTTATATATTATAAAATTCCTTTTCAGTCTTTCCCTAATTCTTTATTTATTCTGTCCCAAGTTTCAGATTTTAGTTTATTCGTTCACTTGGCATAAATCATAAGGTAATAAAAGCGGTGAATACAATATAACTCATTTTCTTTATTTTTCCTTTTTATCGCTCTTACAAATTCCTTATGATAGGCTTTTAATGCCATTTCAGCCCCCCACGGGTTATTATCAGCCAAATTTCATAACTCTTTCATCTCCTTTTTAAATTGGTGGTCATATTCCTCGTTGTTGAATAATGGTTTTTCTAATACTTTATTATGTAAAAATTGGGTCGTTTTGTCCTCCATGCTCTCTTTTAAATATTTATTATTTTACTTATTTTTAAGGGGGATTTGGATTTGGGCTGAGAGGGAAGTTTCTCCTACCTGTTCTGAACTAACTTCTTGCTCTGGCAGAGAATTATCAACTATAACTATAACCTCTTTCTCCTTACCTTTATCTATTTTAGTTGGTTTTTCACAACAAGCCTCTCAGTAATAGATGGGAGTATTCATTTTAGTTTGGATGTTGGTCAGACAATCCTGAATACATTCACAAGTTTTTGTTCAGCCTTGATTAATCTTTCCATAAAGATTTAAGTTTTTAACTTGGTATTTGAAAAGACTTACCTCAGCTTGGATTAGTTGCTTTTTAAGATTGTTTTTATTTTTCTCCGATTGGACTAAATCTTGCCTTAATTCAGTTATTTTTTGCCCTAATAATTTTAATTCCTCACTAACTGATTGCCCTTGTTCTTGTAGGAAAATTAAATTATTTTGTTTTTCGAATAGTTCTTTTTTAATTTGTTGATAGTTTACTTCTGCTTCTTGTAATTGAGTTTCTAAATCCTTTTTCTCTTTCTCTAATTGTCCTTTTTCCTTTTTAGCCTGTTCTGCTTCTGT